GAAGGAGGAATGGAAAATATTTTTTTCCCCTTAGGAAATAATGTGAAGTTTCCTTTTTCTCAGGAAAAAAAAAAAAAAAGTGAAATTTCTTTTTCCCCTCAGAAAAAAACAAAACAAAACAACCCCCAAATTTCCTTTTCCAAAGAAAAATAAATAATTAGAAGCTAATAAATAAACAAACAAACAAACAGAAATTGGCTTTTTTCTCTTGTGGAAAACGAAACCGTACAAAGGAAGGAATCGTACATTTCACCACATCTCTTCGTTCCTCAGAAATCAGAGCCTCCACATTTCCTCAGCCCCCCCTCCCCCATTTCCTACTCCCCTCCTCCTCCCCGCCCCCCATTGCCACACCGGGATAGGGCCAGCCCCTCCCTTAGGACCCACCCGCGCTCCTCCTGCGGTATGACGTCACCGTGACGCAATCAGCGGTGCCGTGACGTCACACTAACCCCGCCCCCCGGAACGGGCGGTGATAAACTCCGTGATCGTTCTCTCTTTCGCTCCCTCAATGGCTTCTCCCGCCCTTACCCGCCCCAACCCGGAAGTACCTCGCTATTGGCCAGCACCGCGACACTGAGAGCTCTCTGATTGGCCAACGGGAGGAAGAGGGGCGTGATTGGTCGGAGGAGAGAGGAGGCGGGGCCGAGCGTGCCGGAAGTGGAGTGAGTGCACTTCCCCTTAGCAACAAGGTGGGCTGCAGCCGTAGGAGGAGCGGAGCAGAGGGCCTTGGTCATGGAGGGGGGTAAAGAGTGGGGACTGCTGTGATAAATGTTAGAAGGGGGGCGAGCAGGGGAGTTGGTGGTAATGGGGGGAGCGTGGGGAGTTTGGCAGTGGAGGGGGACTCTTGGTGATAGGTTCTTTAGCAATGGGGGTGGGGGCTGAGTCATGAAGGGGACCCTCGGCAATGGGGTTTTTTTTGCAGTAGGAGGGCCATTGGTCCCTAGGGGTATCTGGGCAATGGGGGGGGGACCCTTAGAAGTAGGAGGAGGGACTTGTTAATGGGTCTGTTGAAAATAGGGGGGGGGGCTTGGCAATGGGTCCCATGACTGTGGGGGGGCTTCTTTGGTAGTAAGGAGATCCCTTGATAATGGATTCTTTGGAGATGGGGAAGGTCTCTTGGCATTGAAGGATGGCCCTTAGTAATAGGGGGTCCTTGGGCAGAAGAGGGGTCTCTTGACAGGTTGGCAGGGGCTGTTAGCAATTAGGAACTCCCTTGACAGTTTAGGTAAGGGTTGAGTAATAGGCAATGGATCCTTTTGCCACAGGGGTGACCTTGGTCGTTGAAACCCCCTTGGAAATAAGGAGGTCCCTAGGCAATGGGAGGGGGTATTAGCTGGAGGTAGGACACCTGGTAATGCATCTCTTGGTAATGGGGAATCCCTTGGCAGTGGGTTTCTTGGCAACAGAAAGGAGTCCTTGGATATAGGAGTGCTATTGGCAATGGGTCCCATGGCAGTAAGAGGGTCCTTTGGCAAAGGGTGTCCCTTAGCAGTAGGAAGGCCCTTGATGATGGATCCTTTGGCAATGAGAGGAGGCCCTTGACGAGGAATGGGGGCCCTTAGTAGTAAGGGGCCCTTAGCAGTGGTGAGGATGCTTGGGAATGGATCCCTTGGCAACAGGAAAGCCTTTGGCAATGAGTCTCTTGGCATCTGAGAGGGGTCATGGACCCCTTGGTTGTGGAGGTGTCCTTGGCAATGGGTTCATTGACAGTGGGGTGGAGGATTGGTAATGAGGCCCTTGACAGTAGGGGATCCCCCATCCTGCATCCCATTTCTCGTGAGGCCTTTTGCTGTCCGTGGATGAAGCTGGTTCCCCAGCTCTGACATTCACCACAATTTCATGCTTTAGAGAATTGAGGTACTCCAACAATTGGAGCCATTTAACATTTTCAATATCAAGTGACAAAAGGGCAATATGTGTTTTTAACACCCACCTCCTTTGCTCACAGTCTGCCTTGCTTTGCTGTTTTTCTGCCTGCGTGCCCTATTTTGAAGAACGAGGAGCTTCACAGGCCCTCTGAGTGCTGCCTCACAGAGCTGATGTGGATGAAAAAGAGGAAACACTGCAAGAAAAATGAGCTGACCCCTGGATCCTGCAGCCTGTTACCCTCCTGGCTGCCACAGATATGCCAGAGAAGCGTATCTTTTGCAGCAAGGAGTAGTGATAAGACTGTCTTTTACTGGTAATTCTCATACCAGGAGGAAGCCTACCCTCTGGGGTGGTTTTGGTTTCTCTGCGTGTGTCCAACGTCGGTGCGAGTTGCTTTGTTTATATGACTTCTGCTGGCTGCTGTGCTTGAAGAAGAGAGGACTTCCTGCAGATTTCCAGTAAGATTTTCTTTAAAAAAAAAAAACAACAAACAACTCTTTGGATGATTTTGTTCGGCTTCCTACCTGTCCTTCTTAGTCACTGCTGTCTGTCTCAGGCATTTGCACTGCTCAGGGTCCCTTGGCATTCTCCTAATGACACTTTGCCTTTACACAGCTGCTTGTATTTGATTTGTCAGCAAACACAAAATGTACAGAGGTTTTGGTTTTACATTGCCCTGTTTTGTTCTGACTGTCAGGCACCACAGGATGGAGACTTGGAGCCAGGTCACTGTTGCAGAGTATCATTCAGATGTTGCATTGCATCAAGGAGTTTTAGCATGGGGATTGGACTGGATGGCTTTCAGAAGTCCCTTCCAACCCCTGCAGTTCTGTGATTCTGAGTTGTAAAAGTTCTTACTGGGAGCTATTTGGATAAACTCTTGACCAGAACACTGAGACTGCATTGTAACACTTCTGAAAAGAAATTTCTGTATTTCCATATGCCAAATGACAGTTTACTAAGTTTGCCTTTTGCTTTGTTATTTGTTTTTGCATGTTGGCAAAGCAGTGAAGCGATTTAAGAAAATGCACCTTACAGCTGACGACTGTGAAACTCTCAGTCAGAGCACTGAAGGTTTATCCTCCCTGACACAGCCACTGAATCAAAGGCGAAGCAGAGGAGATGTCAACAGGGGTCTCCAACCCACCCATAGAACAAGGAGGAAACCAAGAGGTACACTGTTTGCTTTGGAGCCTGAGGGATTTGGGGGAGAAAAACTACAAAATGGGTTTGGGTCATCAATCCTTGAGCTTGTGCTCTTGGAGGGGAATGAAATGTCAGGCAAGGTGAGCTCAAATGGGACTCAGGCATCAGTAGGACTTAGTAGGATGGCTTTTTTTATTTCCCTTTTCTTAGACAGTGCCCTGTGAATGAGACCTCTTTAAGCTTCACTTTCATGAGCATCCAGGAATGAAATGTGTTAAAATCAGCTTGTGATTTTTTTTCTCTTTCCTCTTAGCTAAGCATCAGGATGTGTTGCAGACCAGGAGCAGGACAGAATGGTCCTAGTGCACTCTTGGTGCTGACAAGTTGAATCAATGGGCTTCATAGATCAGAAAAGGGAGAAGAAGCTGGGAGCAGTCTTTTGCCAAGTTTCAGTTTTGTTTATAGTCTCCTGTGCTTTCTGACATTGCAGCCAGGAAGTGTTTGGCAGGAAATGACTGTTTATGGTCTTAAAAAGAATCCATCTAATTTATCTTGCAGTTGGGGCAGCCTGATATAGGCTTGGTGATCTTCTCATGGTGCAGTGGAGGAATCAAACCTTGAAGTTACTGTCAAACAGAACCTCGGGTCTCCTTGTTAGCTCAGACAGGAGCAGTGTGCTTTGTGCTGTTTCTCTTGACTTCACTGATACTTTTCCTTTTTCCTTAGCCCAAGGGCAGCAGAAGAACATCATGGATTACTTTAAGGTCTCTCAGACACAGCAGGCAGTTGCTGGCAGGACAGAGAACATAAGCATCAAGGAAGAATTGCTGGATCCTTTCTTCACTGAAGATGATGAAAGTAGCATCTCCAATGTGATGGAGACAAGTGGTGATTCCTCCTCATTTCTAGAGGATGAGTACATGGAAAACTCAAGAAAACGGCCTCTGTCCTCCACAGCTCCAAGCAGACTTCAGATAGAGAATGATTTGTGGGGTGAGCCTGAGAAGAAGGCACTGGTGGTTCATCCTGAGCACAGTCAAATCAAGCAAGAGCTTGATGATGAAATAGAGATTGAGCCAGTCCCTGATGCACACTATGGGCTCCTGGGGACTCGGAACTGGGAAGTACCTCAGGGAAGCATTGAAGACTTGCCTGATGAAGTCCTGAGGAGCATCTTTGCTTTCCTACCAGTGACAGATCTGTATCAAAGCCTGAGCCTGGTGTGCCATCGCTGGAGGATTATTGTTAGTGACCCAAGGGTAAGGACTGCTGTGACATCGATTCGAGCCTGGCTTTTCTCTTACTGCCCTGCTCTTTCTCAGTCTTATGGTTGCTGTAGGAGCATCCCTGTCTTTCTTTCTACCTTTAAATCCCTTGATTATTCCCTAGTGCCCACATTGTTTCTTACTAGATATTTTTGGCATTCATGACCACGGTGAATTCCTCCTCAGATGACACTTTCAATACTAGGGTAACTTTACTTGATGCATTCTTCCCATACATGGAAAGAACATCCTGTAACACTCCACCAAATCTCCTTTCTCTCCTTTCCTTGCACTTTTTTCCCCACCTCCCCCAGCTGTGATCATGCAGGAAACCCAGGCTACTGGACTGGGCCATATCCTTTTACAGCCAGTGTGCATCACTGTGTGCACATCTGCCTGCATGTGGTATCTGCTGTAGGTTAGTTTTAAGAGAAGGACCTTTAATTCTGTATTTACAGAGCTTGGTTCACCTATGGTCAAGGCTCTTGCAGTGCAAACAGTTGTAAACCTGGTGTTGATCAACTTTTGCCCAGTCTAAGGAGCAGGATATGGGAGGGCAGGGCATCATAAGCACATGGATTTAAAGCACTCAGACCCCTCTCTTAGCAGATCTGTACAATAGAGCTGAAAACATACTAATTCCTTTAACACTTGGACATTTGAAGCCACATCAATGTCTCCCTGTTCCCATCGCTCTAGAAAAAACAGCCTTTTGTTGGCAGGCTATGAGGAACAAGTCTTTCTCTCTTTCCTCTTTTTTTCTCTGTCTCATGCTAGATACCTGTTTCCATCAAGCTCCAGGGACTGTTTGAACTCCATGTCTTCTTTGGAAGTCATGTTGATTAGCTTATTGCCAGTAGAAGCCTATTATCCTGCCCTCTGAGATGAAAGCTGGTGGTGTATGTTTCACATTCCAGTTCATCCCTTGGAAAAAGCTGTACCATCAGTACCTGGTGAAGGAAGACATGGCTCTGCGCAGGGTTGAACAGGTCTTACAGGATTTTGCCATAACAGATCAACGTAAAGAGTGTATCTTGGAGCTCATCAGGTGAGTCTGCTTCAGCACTTTGTAGCTGTATATCCTCCCATTTTATCCTTATGAACTGCCAGGACATAAATGGTGCTGCTTCCTGCAGAGTGACCACACTGGAGTGAGTGAGACTCTACTTAATCATCCATTTCAGCATCCTTTCCACTTACATTTTGTGATCTGTCACTTCACCACCTGATCAGCCAAGGTCTCA